GTCTCGGCCGACTGCGCCGACGCCGACTACCTGGGCATCCCCGTGGACGAGTGCGAGCGCTTCCGCGAGCTCCTGGAGCTCAAGTGCCAGGTGAAGAGCACCAGCCCCTACAGCCTGTACTACCCCAGCAGCCCCCTGGACGCCAGCAAGAGTGACCCCGAGAGCGTGGACAAGGAGCTGGAGCTGCTGAACGAGGAGCTGCACAGCATCGAGCTGGAGTGCCTGAGCATCGTGCGCGCCCACAAAATGCAGCAGCTCAAGGAGCAGTACCGCGAGTCCTGGATGCTGCACAACAGCGGCTTCCGCAACTACAACACCAGCGTCGACGTCCGCAGACGCGAGCTCTCGGACATCACCGAGCTCCCCGAGAAATCCGACAAGGACAGCTCGAGCGCCTACAACACCGGGGAGAGCTGCCGGAGCACCCCGCTCACCCTGGAAATGTCCCCCGATAACTCCTTGAGGAGAGTGGCAGAGGGCAGCAGCTGCCCAGTCAGCGAAGGGGCCGTGGGGACCTCGGAAGCTTACGGGCCGTCCGCAAAGAATCTGCTCTCCATCACGGAAGATCCCGAAGTGGGCACCCCGGACTATAGTCCTTCCCTTAAAGAGCTGGACCCCGGCCAGGCCCTGGAGAGCAAGGAGAGGAAAGCCAGCGATGGCAGCGGGAGCCCCACCCCCAGCCAGAAGCTGGGCAGCGCGTACCTGTCGCCCTTCCAGCATTCGCCCTACAAACACGCCCACATCCCGGCCCACGCCCAGCACTACCAGAGCTACATGCAGCTGATCCAGCAGAAGTCAGCCGTGGAGTACGCACAAAGCCAGATGAGCCTGGTCAGCATGTGCAAGGACCTGAACTCTGCCAGCCAGTTGGAACCGAGAATGGAGTGGAAAGTGAAGATCCGGAGCGACGGGACGCGCTACATCACCAAGAGGCCGGTGCGGGACCGCCTGCTGAGGGAGCGCGCGCTCAAGATCCGCGAGGAGCGCAGCGGCATGACCACCGACGACGACGCCGTGAGCGAGATGAA